AGTTCGGGACCCAGCAGGCCCCCTGAGGCCCATGAGGGCCCGAGGCTGCCTCAGCGAAGTTCGCCGAGGCCCCAGAGAGCGCAGGGGCGGCATCAGACAAGGGCGAGGCCTTCAGGGGACCAGGGGGGGGGGGGCTCAGCGAAGTTCGCCGAGGCCCATGAGGGCCCGAGGCTGCCTCAGCGAAGTTCGCCGAGGCCCCAGAGAGCGCAGGGGCAGCCTCAGCGAAGTTCGCCGAGGCACCTGGAAGCCGTGGGGTCACCTCAGCGAAGTTCGCCGAGGCCCCACAAGGGCCTGAGGGGCCCTCAGCGAAGTGCGCCGAGGCCTGCAGAGGGCCAGAGGGGCCCTCAGCGAAGTTCGCCGAGGCCCTACAAGGGCTGGAGGACAGCTCAGCGAAGTTCGCCGAGGCCCCAGAGGGCCTCAGGCAGGCCTCAGCGAGTTTCGCCGAGGCATCAGAGTGGAGGCCATCTCAGCGAAGGTCACCGAGGCCCTACAAGGGCCTGAGAACGTCTCAGCGAAGTTCGCCGAGGCCCGCAGAGGGCCAGAGGGACCCTCAGCGAAGTTCGCCGAGGCCCTACAAGGGCCTGAGGACAGCTCAGCGAAGTTCGCTGAGGCCCAAGAGGACTTAGGGATGACCTCGGCGAAGTTCGCCGAGGAGGCCCTGGATGGCGTAGAGGTATTATCAGGGGCTTAGGGCCTAGAGGGCCTAGGGATCTTACAGTGGCGCACATGATTGATGTATGTTCATGACTACATGACTACACTGCTACGCTACGACATCACTACATTACCACATGTGATGTTTGCCGTTGTCACCCTATGTTGTTTTAGCTTGGCCCTTTTCTACTTTCGACAGTTCCACAGTTCCACAGGTCGCGGCCCCCCTCGGATCAGCTTGGTCCTTTTCTGCAGTTCTTCAAGTCCACAGGCCGCGGGCACCCTCGAAGAGGAGGAGGGGGGAGATGCAGCAGGAAGGGGGAGATGGGGAGGAGGGAAAAGGAGAGAAGGACCGTGAGGAGGAGGAGAGGAGAGAAGGACGAGGAGGTGGAGGAAGAGGAGGAGGAGGCAGAGGAGGAGGGGTAGCACGGGGAGGAAAGGAGGAAGGAGGAGGCCTCAGGGGGACAAGGAGGAGGAGGAGGAAGAGGAGAAGGAGGAGGAGGAGGAGGAGGAGGCCCCCCCTTCCAGGAACTAAGAACACCAACTCATGGCGGTGGAAGCGGGCACCAGGCCCTTCGCCCCATCGCGCGCCGCGCCTTCACACCTTCACATGCAGCATGGCGCATGCCGTTTAGGAGGCGCACTCGGACCCACCTTGGGCCGAGCTTAGCGCGACCGCCCGCGCGCTGCGGAATATGTTTGGGCCGTACTCGGGACAGACGAACCCAAACGTTCCTCAACGCCCGAGCCCGTGGCCTACGCACGAGAGCGCGCGGCGTACCAGAACCAGTCGCCGCGGCCATTCCGTACATGCCCTGGCGCCCGTCCCCAATCTTTGCTCGCCGCCAAAGGCCAACGCCGTCGACGTCGACGACGCCGACGACCCGACGACGCCATCCCCATCGCCGACGCCGACGACGCCGACGCCATGGGCATCAACGACGTCGACGCCAGCACCGCGGCCATCCCCATCGCCGACGCCGGCGCCATGGGCATCAACGGCATCAAGGACCCCGACGCCAACGCCGACGACAGCACCGCGGCCAGTGCCGATACAGGTGTCGCAGCCAGCGCCGCCGCCAGCACGAACGCCGACGCTGACGCCAACACCGACGACGAGAAAAGGCGGATCGCGCGTCGCACTCGCAGTTGCATCATCGCCCGCCCGACGCCGTACCCGCAATTGGTGCCGCACACGCCGCGCACGCCGACCGTGCCGAACATGCCCGACCACCGCACCCACAACGCGATCACCTTTGCCTCGGTCCTGGCTTCGGACGGGGCCCCGCCTTCGGAAGGGGCCAAGCTGAACGACTCCCTTTGGCGCCGCGACTTGGCGAGGGCGACGCGCCTAGAGAACGCCCCGTTGCGGTGCGACGGGGATGCACGCACCGTGAGCTCTTAGGGAACATGGTGCAGTGCGCGGGGGCCCGTTGGTTCTGCCATTCGTGCTGGATCAGCGGGCCGAGGACGCCATGCGGCACCATTTTCCGCGGCTTGTGATCTTGCCAACTGGGCGGCGCCTAGACGCGACGCCCGTCTAGATGCAATCTGGGGACAGCAAGCGACCACAACCGTGTCGAGGGCACATCCTGGGGCATACCCTAGACCCCATAGACATGCCATTGGGCTTCAGGACGCCGAACCACCGAACCAGCTGAGTACTGGTTGTGGTCGATATTGGCGTCCAGGACGGTCATATCGACCACAACCCCCGATGGGCCCTTCAGAAACATCAACTTCGTTGTGGTTCTGGTCGCTTGATGTGCCCGAATGCAAAGTGGCGGCGCCGAGTTCGCAGAGCGGCGGCGCCTACTTTGCAGGATATGCACGTGCATGCCTGGTCGTGCGTGCGTAGTTGCTTCGTGCATGTGGGTGTCCGCACGACCTTCGCGAATTTGGATGTGATTCGCCGTAAGGCTTCCCGTTCAGCCTTGGCAAAACAAATGCGATGAGGAGTTCACCTTGCTGCTATTGCGGTAGCATCTGGTGCTACAGCGGGTTAGCATAATGTAGCACCGTCACACTTCTCGAGCGAGACGCTTGTTTCGTCCATTGTGGTAGCATATGCGTATATGTGGTAGCATATTGTGGTTGCGGCGATTGCGGATGTAGCATATGGTAGCATCTTGAGATTTCTCGAGCGAGACGCTTGTTTCGTCTGGCACCACACGCACGTTCCCATCCTTCCTCATCCTTCCCTACCATGCAGAGGAATGCCTGACAGGCTTGACAGGAATCACCTAGAAGGCCCACCTGGGCCCTTGCCTGACTTGCTGAGGGTGCTTCCTGGGCCTCGACTGGGACTCGATTGGCTTTGGCGGTGTTCTGGCGCTTACAGGTTGAGTGAATGAATAAGTACACTGAGTAGCACAGTACCGCAATAAGATCGAGTGAGACCCCCTTCCTGAAAGTGAGCAGAAAGGCGGCCGCGGCCGCCCGCCTGCGTCGCGGTCGATGTCGCACTTGTCGTAGCCGTTGCGGGTCGCCGCGGGCTCCAGAGAGGACGAGAGGGGCGGCAGCGGCAAGACAAGGGCCGCTAAAGGCTAGAGGTCCAGAGCACAACGGGCGCAACGGCAGCGACGGTCGAGCGGCGGCACGAGGACATTACTCCCTGGATCCCCTGGACCCTTGGAATTCTCACTGGGGCATTCCTCTTGGACTCCTGCGCACCTGGGGCACTGCGCCACTGGGCCACCCGGGCCCCAGCTCCTGGACTCCTGGGCCCCTGGGCGGCTGGACCTGACCTCCCCTGGAACGCATGTAGCGCCGACGCTGCGTGGTCCCTCGGTTGTCTTTCCTCCTGCTCCTCCTCCTGCTCTCCCTCTCCCCCTCCTCTCGCCTCAATAACTCCACTTCCTGCCCTCCTCCTCCTCCTCCTCCGCCCGATCCTTCTCAACCGCCTATCCTCTCCCTCATCGCCCTCTCACCCTCCATGGAGTCCATGAAGGACAAGAGGGGGTGAGTGAATAGCGAGGCAGGGTTTACGCGCAGCCCAAGCACGTGTCCAATCATGCTATCATGAGTCTCCGGGTCGCGGGGCGGCGCGTCTGCGCCCCCTTCTACACCAGCCGCGACGCTTCTCAGCACTCGCCCCCCCCCCCCGCCTCGCCACTTCGTGAATTCAACGACGCGGCGATGCGCCAGGGCGCGTTGCCGTCGACTCAGCCTCGGCAAGTTTCGTCTCCAATTCAGCCACGCGTTTCTGTAGGTTGTCAAGCTCCCGAAGCACCTGCCCCTCGGGGGCGCCCCCCCTTTCATTTCTGCCCCCTCTTGCCCCCTTCCTCCCTTCCTCCTCCCCTCCAGCCCCGGCCCGTCAACCTGATCCATTCGATTCAACACCTTATTCAACAGCACGTCCTCTGGGCCTCTGGGGTCTTCGGGATTGCCCCATCCAGCGCGTACTGAGGCGTCGGGGGAATAACTGTAAACGAAGACGAATCCATTGCCCGTGCGCCCGACCGAAGCAAGGCCCCACGGCGCAGCCACACAGGACTTGAACCCTCACGCCTCTGTCATTTGGACGGCTAGACAGCAGACGCACTGACGGTTGCGTTATAGGTTGCGCCGCCGCCCGAGCCGAACTTCATTGGGTGCCCCACTGGATGCGCCAAAGGAGCAATGAAGCAATAGGCGCATAGGTTCTTGAATCCTTGGAGTCCCTGGAGAGTGCCCAGAGGCCCGAGGCCATGGCCCGCTGTTTGGTTCGCCCCGCCCTCTCTCTCTCTCTCTCTCTCTCTCTCTCTCTCTCTATCTCTCCCTCTCTTCTCTCTCTCTCTCTTTTCCTCTCCCTCCTCCTTCTCTCTCTCTCTCTCTCTCTCTCTCTCTCTCTCTCTCTCTCTCTCTCTCTCTCTCTCTCTCTCTCTCTCCTGCTATCTTTCTCTCTCTCTCTCTCTCTGGCTCTCTCCCTCCCACTCCACGCATCATCTCCGCCCTCCAGTCGTCGTGGTCGTCGTCATCGTGAGATCGTGATCGTCGCGATCGTCGTAGGGGGTAGGTAAGGGTTGGCAGGGGCGGGACCTGATTCTATGTGAGCACACATACATCGCCTTTTGCAAGCCCCCCACATCCGACCCCTTCCTGGGTGCCAGACGCGCCAGCTTTTCGAGCTGCGCCCAGCCGCAACCACTACATCTCCTGGGATCCCCAGGAGCCAGGGGCTAGAGAAACGAACTCTACCCAACACAACATACATCACGAGCCCAGGGGCCCAGGGGGCCTCGGAGCGCGTTTTCTCTCCGCGCGCGTCTGGTGGACGCACTCAATGTCTCGACCAGGGCCTCGTCTGTGACTCAGTCCCTGGCACTGTGCTCGATCCGCTCCTGGATGCCCCAGTATCTGTGATTCTAGCCGCTCGTGAGGATGCGCCCCAGGAAGATGTCCGAACCCCCGCCGAACTCGATCGCGATCCACTCCTGGATCTCCAGGGCGCCCAAATAACAGCCGCGCGCGACCCACTCCTGGATGTGGCAGTCCCAGTAGCGCCCCCAGTCCCCGCAGTAGTCGATCAATTCCTAGACTCCTGGATTGATAAACCCCGAACTTGAGTTACAGACAGGCGCGGCACAGACGGCATAAACTCGACAGCCACGCTTCCCGCCCGATCCCCGCAGGCGGCGGCGCTGGCGCCTCCAAGCGCGGCGGAACTGCAGCTGCGACGGGCTCGGCCGCGACAGGCGCGGCGGCCGCCGCCGCGGGGGCAGCAGCAGGAGCACGCACATGAGGTACGAGTGCGTCGGCACATTGCGAGTGAAATGCAAGCATGCAGTGGGCACATTCGATGATATCCTCGTCATCCGATGGTTGAGCCAGCACAGTAATCTCTTCTTCGCACGCAAAACAATGGAAACCTTGCCTGACACCGCCACTTCGGACCACCACGCATATTTCCCACATGCGTCTAAGCCGTTCTGCCCAGTCGAACACATCCTCTCTGTCAACTTTGAGCTTTGTGTAGAGCGAAGTACATGCATGTATGATGGTTGCATCCGTGAGGTCTTTCTCTAACCCTTGCGATTTGATTGATGGTTCTGGCATGAATATCGGCTTTTTGCGACGTATCTCAACATACAAACCTTTCTTGGCATCCCCAATTGAAGCGCGCCATGCTACATAGTGAACTTGCCCCTCTGAATCTTCAACCAATGACATGTGCGAGGTGTCCGCGGCCCCCCGGAGCAGCTGGACTTCTCGGGCTCGTGAGTCCGCCAATTTTGTCAGGGCCCTCTGCGACAATTCCGCAGAGGCTCTCCACGCTGCCAGTGTCTTCGATATCCTCGGGGGGGCGAGGCGGGGGGAGGGGGGGGGCAGAGCACAGAAGAGAAACATAGAGAGGAGAAGGAGGATGCGGGGGCGAGCGGGAAGCGGGTAGGAGGGGGGTATGATGGGGGAGAATGAAAGGAATGAGATGGGGAGATTGGAGGTGAGGGCTGAGGGCGGGCTCTTTTTACAGCAAGTAAGCCGACCCCCCCCCCTGGGTTGCTCGGCAAGTCCTCGTTGCCCTTGGGGGCCAGGGACCCAGGGGGGCGGCGGCAGGTGGCTTTCAATCTCCCCCCAAGCAGCCGTGCGAGTAGACTCAAGGAAGGGAGCTGGGCTGAGCTAGGACGAGGAACTTTAGCTGGTTTCGAGTTTCGATTCTCATTAGCTCAAGGTCTACAGAAAGAAAGCCTCAAGTGCCCCCAAACGCCTCGGGGTTCTGAGGCACTGAGGCCTTGAACGCCCCGCGACGCGTCAAGAGACGCGAGAAACATTCCGCGTTCATCACCAAAGGGCCCCAGAGCCCGAAGATCCAAAGAGCCCAGGGGCCCAAGGGTGCCCCCCCCCTTCCCCCCGAGGCCCAGCCATTCCTGGATTCGTCACTGCCACCAGGCTCGCGATGATGGGAAGCATCTCCCGGAGCTGGAACGGCAGCAGGAGCGGCGGCTGCGAGAGCCTCTGCAACGTGCAAATCTGCAGCCGCAGAACCCACCAACATATCCACGACAGCAACAGCGGGCCCTGGTCCTGCTCCGTCTGACCCCGTGGCCCCCATGTCCCCTTCGCCATCATGATCACGATGCAGCCCGCCATCATCACGCGGCGGCGCTGCCTCAGGTCCAAACAGCTTAGCAATTGCATCTGTGAAAGATGAGTCGGGGAAGTTGCACTTCGTTTTCTTTCGCCTGCCTTGCATCGCCGCCTCACCTCTTTTGTTTTCGACGTCCTCTGCCCTCTGCGCCTCCGCAGGCTTGATCCCCCCCTCTGCAACCATCTCGCCCAGCACGGCCGCCTCGCCCGCGTCTGCCGAGTCCAGGAGGCGCTCCAATTCTGTTGCAAGAAAATCATCTCGCTCGCAGTCGAGGTCGCCATCACCACCTCCCCTGAGCCCTTCAGGCCCCTCAGGGCCACAGGGTCTCAAGGCCCTTGCCGTTGCCCCCCCTACCCCCCTGGCCTGGCAACCCTGGAAGTGGGGAAGCAGATGCGAGCTACGCCCAGCCGCGGCGACGCTGGAGTAAGATTCTAAACGGACACCCCTCCACCTCCCCATAAGCCGATAAGCTTCATAGGCCCGTGGGACCTTGTAGAATACCTGGGTCGGGCTCAACTGGCCCTGGAAGCGCTTTCGGCTTGGGCTTCTTCTTCGGGATCGCAATTGCAGAATCTAACAGCAGGGTGTCGCATGGGTTGTCGTCGAGTTTACCAAGCCTGTAATCCCCGAAAAATAAGCACACTGGGTTCTCAGCGGGCGAAGTATCGAGGGCACGGGCGTCCAAACAACAAAATACGTCAAGCGCAATGTTTGATGACACGCCGCCGTCGCTCGATTCGCTGACAAACCCCCTGAAGACAACGGGTTTCACTTCATTCAAGAACACAACGTACCCATAGATCTTCGAAACAACGTACGTAGCTCGCGCCCCGGATGGATCCCCAGGCGCTGGCGTCTGCACAAAGATCGAGCCTACGGGCTTTTCAGATCGGGCAACCCTGATGGCCCTCAGTAGTTTCAAGCTGCACAACTTTGCCCATTCCAGAGATGCAGCGGGGCAGTGGCGACCATCAAATATCTCACCTGCCCCAAACGCTGCCAGGATTCCATGGTACTGGGCCGCCAGTTTTCAGATCCACGTCCAGCGCGACGACGAGGCGACGGTGGGATGATGGGCGCTTGCCCCCAGGGCGCCAGATTTCGCGACAAATCCCAAATCCGCACCAAAGCTGACGCGAAGCGTCAACGTCGCCCCCAAGTTCCCCTAGCTGCGCCCAGCGTGGCGAGGGGCGATCGGCCCCTCAAGGGCCTCAAGGATTCGCGCCAACACTTCCAGCTTGTTTTCCGAGCCGCGCCCACCCGCCCCTGATTTCACGCAGCCCCGCGATCGCCAGGAATCGGAGCAACGTCCTGGATGGGGGACGGCGCTACAAACCTGTGCACGTCGGACAACACGCGGTCGACTTGGCCAGCCGAGTAAACAGCGCAGTCAAATGAGAAACGGAAGTTATCTGCCACCCCACTCCATTTCACAGCCCCCGCGTGCCCGCCGAAGTTCAAGGCCTCGACGTTCCCCACCCTCGCGTCGAGGAGCGGCATGCGTATAGCAGGGTTCTTGCGCACGGTTTCCTGGTGGAGCGGCGGGGGGAGGGGGGCGGGCGGCTGCAGGGGAGGAGGAGGAGGAGGAGGAGAAGAAGGAGGTGGAGGAGAAGTACTCCTCCTCTTCCATTGAGGCTTTCCCGTTCCTCCTGGACTCCTCCACCTCCTCCGCCTCCTCGTCGCCTCGCCGCCCCTCCCCAGTCCGCCCTCCCTCCCCCCCTCCCCCACCGCCTCGCCCTCCTCGCGCTCCCTCCCCGGGCGAGACGGTGAGAAGGTGAGAAATGAGGGAGCGAGGTGATGGCCGCGCGAGGGAGCGGGCGAGCAGCCGTGCCTGCCTGCGTTGAGGAGGGAGGGAGGGAGGACAGGAAGGAGGAGGAGGAGGAGGAGGAGGAGGAGGAGGGGGAAGGATGGAGAAGGAGGTGTCAAGAGGAGAAGGCAGACGATTTGATTTTGCGAGGAGCCCAAGACTGTCCTTGATAATGCTGTTCACCCACGGGCAAATGTCCTCGCAACCAAAATAGGAATGGTACTCTTGGCATCTGTGCGGGAGGGTTCGGACAAGGAGGGGGGGGGGAGGAGGGAAGGAGGTGACTCCGCCGAAAACGGCGTGCAAGTTCATGAGCTGCGCCCAGCGGTGGCGGCAAGGCGACGAGGCCCCGAGTTCTGGCCCCCCGCGCCAGCATCCGAATCCGAAGGAGAAGGAGGCGGGAGAGAAGGTGGGATAAGGAGGGGAGGGGGGCGATGGGGAGGAGCTCCCCTTTTGTTCCTTTTGTTCACCCCCTCCCACCCATCTCATCTTCTCTCAGCGCCCCGCCGAGGAGCCCAGTGGCGCCGCCAAGGCGCCAAGGTTTTAGGGTTTCATGGGGCCCAAGGGCCCAGGAGGAATTCTCGCGACCCCCTCGTTTCAAAAGAAACCCAGGGCCCCCGCGGGTATCTTATCTTGTCTCATCTCCTCCTCATCGTGGCCGAAGGGCCCGTAGGGCCGCACGGTCGTCCCCAGAGGACCGACGCGAGGTCCTCGCGCGGTGTTTCATTTATCGCTACGCATTGGCCGCCACGCTGGTGATGCGGAAAACGACAGTTTCTGTGGCATCGGGAAAAGAAGGGAATGACCCCCCTCCCTCCTCCTCCTCCTCCTCCTCCTCCTTGACTCCTTCTCCTCCTCCTCCTTCTCCTCCTCCTCCTCCTCCTCCTCCTCCTCGTCCTCTCGTCCTCTGTTTCGTCCTCCTTCTCTTCCTCCTCCTCTCCTCCTGTTCCTTGGGGTTTTGAACTCCCTGGGGCCTTAATTTCCGCCTCTGCCACACCTGCGAGTTCGCGGCGTCCCCGCGGATAGTATACGCGCTGAAACGCCAACACGGCATGGCACCAAGGCGGGCATCAATATTGGCAGGCACATCTACAATCGGATCTGGGATGAAATCGTCTTCAACCGCAAGGCGACAAGCTCGATGCCTGTTGAAATTCTGCGCGTAAGCAACCAAACTTGCCCGCACTCGAATCTCAGCGCTCGTTATCGCCCTCCGCCCCAAATCTTCCATAAGTACAAGGCCCAGGCGGTTGGCGCCAACGCCGCATAGGGTTCTCCGGAGTGCGAGGGACATGCCGCCCTCCAACGTCAAATAACGTTTCGCAGCGCCTCTAAACACTGTAAACTCTAATTCCTTGACTTTCGGTTGTTCACGCTCCAGCTTTCTTTTCGCCTTTGCAACCTGTCCCTTATGTCTGTTGCTTCGTTTTCTCCAGTTATCTTTCAAACCCCTCACGCTTGCCACCTTGTTTTGCAGACTCTGAATCGTTCTGGATTGCGAGGCCGCGACTTCCACCAACTCATCGTGGGACATCGCCTCCAACGCATCCCTGTCAAAGACAACAATCTGCCCCGCCGCTGGAGCGGCTGGCGCTGCTGGAGCTGGAGCGGCAGCCGCGGCCGCCACGACCTGGTCGGGG